GATGAGCCGCTTGGCCATGCATGCGTAGCCTCAGCAAGCAGCTTCACAACGCACCACTCCTTCTCTCAGTGTAACCAATGTGTTCTGTGGGTGTGTGCATCGCTGTGGGTCGTGGGGTGGAGGTGCAGGGTTGTCACACGAAGCCATCTCACAGCTTGTACCGATCTGACCCACCACTGACCCGAACCCTGGCTCTGTGCTTCCCCTTGAGCAGACAGGAGCGAGCCTGCTGCTCAGCTTCAAGAACAAAAAGAAGTCGTTTGGATTAAAAAAAAAAAACGGACCAGGTTACCGTTTGCACTGTAAATCTCCTTGTCTGCCTGGGCCAGAGTGGTAGAGCAGCCCGTGGGGCTGGGCGGGAGCTGCGGCACGTGTTTGCCAACTTGTCCCACCGAGATGGAGCTGCCACGTTTGGTTGTGAAGGTGCCGTTGGATATCAGTGATTACAGAATGCCATCTGCTGTGTGGCTGATGTGCACGGGCTTGTTTCTCTCCTTGTTTTTCTCTACCAGGTTCCCCGTACGACTTCATCTCTCTGGAATGGCTGCAGAAGTGGCTGGATAAGTCCACCCCTCCCAAACCCATAGACAACACAGCCTGCCTGTGCTCGCACGGGAAGCTGCATCCTGACAAGATATGCATCATGAAGAGGATATCTGAGTACGTGGCTGACTTCTTCTATAGGAGATACGGCGGGGGACCCAGGCTGAACGGTGAGGCTTGCAGGACCCCTCCTGCTCCTGCTGTCTGAGCATGTGCTCAAGCCTTGTTCTGGGCCCGGCGCCTCGCTGGGCCATCCTTTATTACCTTAACTTTATTTCTGTGCTGCCATTTCCGAGTGCTTCATGTTGTTGTTGTTGTTTTTTTTTTTAATCACTCAATTATGTTAGCGTCCAAATAAATACAGTTAGTCTGATTGCAGGGCTGGTTTCAGGCCTGAATCCTGCTCTGCCCTGTGAGAGCTGTGCACAGAGGAATTCCTGAGAAAGCAACAAAGTGAATTCTCTGAAATAGCGTAACTTGCATGTGTCACCCCCCAGACTCTTCGAAATGTTTGTTAAAGCCTGATAAGAAAATCTCTGTCCCCTCACCCCCACCCACCCCAGCCAGTCCTGGGCTGCCTCACCCGCTGGGAGCACACACCCGTCAGTGAACATGCTGGTGCTGCACACGTCTGCCGTGTGTGTGATTTGTGGGCAGGGCTGGCTCTGCAGTCCCTGGGCATCTCTGAACCGAGCTCCAGGCTTGGTTCCCTTTGTAAAGGAGCTCAATAGCTCCCACTGAGACCAAATTAGCTCAGCTCCTGCTAGGCACTTATAGGGAAGAAATGCAGCCAGCAGAACATCCCATGATGCAGGCAGGCTTTCTGAAAACAGGGCAGCCGTTCTCAGTCAGCTGGAAAATCACCTGCCTTTTCTTCATTGAGAATGACGGAGAGGGAAGGATGTGATTGTGACCCCTGCTCCCATCCCGAGGAGTAAGCCCATATGCAGGGCTGCTCCTGGTTCTGCGCAGTATCACAGGAGGTTTGGAGCTTTTCTGGGCTGTTAGCTGGTTGCTTGCAGGAGTTCCCTGAGCTGGGTGGCAGGGAGCCCTCTCATCCCACGATGGCACCTCGGAGGTGTCTGCACTTCACCTCTGTGCCACAGAAGAGCAGTGACACAGCTTTGGGTTGCAAACCTCAGCCCCCCCTTCTGACTCCCACATCCACGTGTCAGTGCAAGCTCCCTCGCAGCTCTCTGCGTTCTGGTACCAACAAGCTGGTGGAACAGGCAGCACCTCAGCAAAGGAGTTGAACCATGGCAGTTGCCCTGCTTGCGTGCCGCCCCTCAGGTTGTGATGCAGGGTGACCGTGGTGTGCATGCCTTCCACGTGAGCTGCCTGTGCTGCAGTGTAACACAGTGTTTTTTTTCTCCCCCATCCCAGTCAAAGCACTTTGCAAGGACTGTGTGGTAGAAAGGTGTCGAATCCTGCGTCTGAAAAACCAGCTAAATGAAGACTACAAAACCGTCACCAACTTGCTGAAGATAACAGTCAAGGGGTACGTGAGTCCTGGTGCTTCTGACGTCGCCAGAGATGTTTTTAGCTGTGCTAATCAATGCCCAAGTAGTTTTTTCTCGAGCTTTTTCCATTTGGGCTGTGACTGGCATTGCTGACGCTGCTGTCTCCCCGCAGGAGCGATGGGTTTTGGGTTGGAAAGGCGTCCTTGCGGAGCTGGCGTCAGTTGGCTCTGGAGCAATTAAATGAGCAAGACGAAGAGGCAGAGCACAGCAATGGAAAGCTGAGTGGAAATGCACCAAACAAAGGTAGTTCTGCTGCCGTAGAGCTCCGCCAGCTCTGACTGATCCCCTGAACAAAAGACACGTCAGGTGTTCTGTGTGTTGTTTTACTTCCCTTTTATGAGCAGGGAGGGAAGGCACTTTGGGTGGCTTGATATCACACGGCCCTAATTTCAGGAGCTTTTTATTTGATAAGCTTCAAAACTGCTGGGTGATCTTCGTACCCAGAGAAGAAGATGAGGTAATGAGCAGCTTTACAGAGCTGTGTACGATTACCACCCCAGACACATGATCTTTTCATCTACTTTTATCTGAATGAGAGTGCGCAGGGGAGGAAGAAACATGAAAATTATCCTGGGGATGTTTACTGCGAAGGCCTACGGATGAAACAGCACAGCTGGTGGAGCAGCACTGGCAAAACACAGTTTAGAAAAAAAATATCATGAATTGGATTCTCTTCTATCCCTGTATCATATGTTTGTGATGACGTGGGGGGATTTTTATTTGCCTTCTGTTCTCTAAACCCTTGGAAATTGGGTTCCCTTTGAGCTTTTTTCCTTTCCTAACGGAGGGCAAGGAGCTCATTTGAATGGAAGTAGAGACGATCAGCTAATTGCATTGATGTCAGGCTGGAAGGCTCCGAGAGCATCAGATACTGCAGTGATGCTATCTGTAGGCTGCTGCTGGGGTTGATGGCCTCCACTGAGAAAAGGGCACTTCTCTTCCCTGTGTCAGCAGCTGAGGGGCTGTCCCACGTCCTGTTCCTTGGGTCACCTTGATCTCAGAGCAGGCTGCACCTCCCAGAAGTCCACTGTAACTGCTCACAGGCCAGCTTGCTCCTTAGTCACACTGCTGCAAACTGTTACATTGCTGTTTTCTCTGTTGCTCCTATTTGATGGCCAATGCTTCTGTCTGCAGAGCAGTTCTAAACTCCAGTGTAGCAATGCTCGTGCTGGATATCAGAGCATGGAGCAGAGCAGACCGGGCTGTGCTGCTCCGCTCTCACCTAGAGGTTGGGGTTAGCTCTGAGCAGCAAAGCCCTGCGGTGCTGCAGCTGGAACAAATGCACCCTTTGTCATCTCACAAAGGATGCTCTTGTGCTCCACGCACTTCAAAGCACTCCTAAGCACTCCTACATGCCACGCAGCCTGGCCTGCAGGCACACAGGCCCATGTGTTGGAGATTAACAGAATAACGCTTCCCAGGTTTCCCCTGGGCTGAGAACTGCTGAAGGGAAACCAGGCTTCTTCCCCCAAACGTTTCCCCTTTCTTTCAGAGAAAAATGGCGCAATCTTCTTATTTTTATTTTATTTTATTTTTTAATTAGATGAAGCAAATGAGGAGAAGAGAGAGGAGGAAGAAGAGTTAAATTTTAATGAAGACATTGTTTGCCCACATGGTAAGTCTCTGCGGGGGATGGAGCTGAACACTTCTGTTGTTGCCCACTGCTCCAGATGTTAACTTCCTAGACTGGGACCAGCATGAGCAGTTACCACAGAAGCGCATTTTTATTCTCATTTTCACATTTCCTGACATTTAAAAACATGGAGCAAGTGGTGCAAAGGGCACGAGCACAGCCCAGCCCCTCGGGGGGAACGTGGGTGCTGCATGGGGCTGCAGCATTACTCTGAGAGCAGGGGGAGATGCTGGAGAGAGCAGGCAGCATCAGATCGTTCTCCCTGTGTCAGAAGCTAGCCCAGCAGCACTTACCCACAACTGCAGAAACTGCTGTTTCTGTTTGCAGCTGGGGCACCGGGGCGAATTGATTCCCCCACCTGCTGTGCTTCGGTGTCCACTTACATCAGGCTGTGACCTGGTGTTGGCTGTTTTGCTTGGTGCTTGGCTTGGTTGGCCAAGCAAAGTGTTTGGGCCTCACTTCGTGCCCGACCTGCCTGCGTTCTGCTGGAGGCTCCTGTTGGCAGGCGTCCATCAATTAGCAGCACACCTCCTGTCGTTAGGGCTCATCAAGGCTGTAGGTTAATGGCGTTTGATCACCTTGTCACGGTGCTACCCGCTTTTCGGAGAGCGTAGTTCCCAGTGCAGCAAAGTTGCTGCTGGCAAACAGGAGCACTTAATGCAGGCATGCAGCGTGGAAGCAGGCTGCTAGGGCTGTGGCAGTGTTGTGCTGCTCAGCTGCCCGCTGATCCGATGCTTTGGGCCATATGGAGCACAGGGGCTCCTGGCAGGCTGTGTTTCACCTGCTGGAGGTAAGCTTTGGCTCCTCGTGGAGAACAGCCCTCCCACATCTGTGTACTTCAGATGTTCCTCCACAGTGTATGGGCTGAGGTGTAGTTTGGGTAATTGGGCCTTAATTAGTTGCTGGTTTTTGTGATGCATGGGGCAGCTGAGGTTACGCAGCAGTGATTGTGTTTGCTGAGGGTGCAGGAAGCACTCGGCTCCTGTTGCACAGGGCATGGGTTTGTCTGCAGCCTGCGAAACAGAGTCGCCCTGACATCACAGCTCTATAGCCATGGTCAGAGAGCAGCAGCCCATTGCAGTCCTTGGTTCTCCAGGCATCTCCCCTCCCCGTGGTCTCTATTTATCCACTGCTTGAGGCTCTGAAACCTAAATGTGAATTCAGGCTTTTTGGCCATCAGAGCAGAGAAACGATAAAGAAGTTGAAGGTGACTGTGTATTAGTTGGGCTCTTTTTGCTGACACGAATGCCTTCCCCCACGCTGATACCCACTAATCTCCTCAATCTGGTTCGGTCGCTGAGCACGGTGGGGCAAAGCCCTTCTCCTGCCTGTCTCCCTGCAGGTGACCTGTGCATATCCGAGAACGAGAGGAGGGTGGTGTCGAAGGAAGCCTGGAAGAAGCTCAAGCAATATTTCCCAAAGGCCCCTGAGTTCCCAAATAACAAAGAGTGCTGTTCCCAATGCAAGGTATCTGAATAGCAGACAGCACAGCCCCTCCGCTGGCTGTAAATACGTGGCCATGTTTCTGGTTTCCTCTTTGATGTTCTCCAGTACAGTGGGGAAAAACAATGTCACCTGTGAATAGCTGCTAGGAACTGAAGCTCCAACCTGTTTTGTGCAGATTTTGGAGCGCGAAGGAGAAGAAAATAAAGCACTGCACAAGATGATGGCCAGTGAGCAGAAGACGTCCCTCCAGAACTTGTTCCACGACAAATGCCGGCCTTGCCTGGGCAGCTGGCCGCAGGTAGGGGCCAGGGGGAGGTTTTGGGTGGAAGCTGTACCCCTGCTGAGCTGCTCTGGCGCCGAGCCCTGCCTCTGGAACACGGGAGTCCTCGTGTGCCACCCAGCTGTCGCTGGCCTGCAGTCAGATAAGCGGAGTGGCATTTCTCGATGGTTACATCCATCCCTGGAAGTACCGACGCAGCGCAGCCCTACTGATAGTGTTCAGAAAGTGGGGGCAGGTGGGGTGGTGTCACCCCATGCTCGGGGTACACAGAGGGATCTGCTTCAGTGCCCCCCAGTCCGAGGAGTGGTACTCAGCCAAAGGAACCCCAGTGCCAGAGAGCTGCTCTGGGGAAATGGCCGTTTCCTGCTATGAATTACAGGTAATTGGATCTGAAGCTAAATTAACTTTGTAATAAACACAAGATTAGTAATGTAAGTGCTCGGTACTTGATCTCAAATTATTTTACTTGGCTTTCTCAGCGCGCTTGGATGGAGTTGTCATGGTAAAAATGCTGAGGTCTCAAAGAGAATGAGCGCTGCAGAAAAAGCTGAACAGTCATTGCCTCTCTATTGTTGGGTTAACAATAGAAGGCCGTGGGGTTTTTTTCCCTTCCAGGAGACAGACGAGCTGTATATTGTTTCACAGTTCTTCGTAGAAGAATGGAGGAAATTTGTCAGGTAACTGGGCTGAGCACTTTGGTACTTTCTGTTTGGTTTTGGGGCTTTGAGTTGGTGTTGCCCAGAGCTGCGTGCGTAGAAACAAGGAAGCTGGTTTGGAAGGACTTGGACCCTGCACTTGCAGCAATTGTAATACACTGCAAGAATCTGAATTTCCTTGTTTACCATGCCTTAACCAGATGGTCAGATTAGATAGTAACCTGATTAGTTTTTTCATCTGCCTGGAGCTGTATCCCAGGCAGAGGTCACCGTTGCCATGGGCTGCGTGTGGTGCGGGCTGTGCGGGACAGGAGCGCAGTTTTGCAGTGCTCAGGAGCACAGCTCTGATGCCGTGTCGGTGGCAGTGTCACATTCCCCATTGGAATGTCACCCGCACATACCCACCTGCGATTTCCTTTTCTTGCTGCCTGCAGACTTGTGCTTTCTTGCTCTCTGTGCCATAACTTCCCCCATTTCCCTTTGCCCGAGCAGGAGGCCGACGCGGTGCAGCCCCGTTTCCTCGCTGGGGAACAGTGCTCTGCTCTGCCCCCATGGGGGCCTCATGTTCACCTATGCTTCCATGACCAAAGAAGACTCCAAGCTGTGAGTTCCTTCTCCTCTCACCTCTGCCTTGCCCTGAGAGCCCCGGGGAGCTTCCCAAAGCTCACTGAGCTATGGCGACCCAGGAGCACGCGCTCCCCCCCAAACAAAGGGAGCGCAGCTGCTTCCTCAGGCATATCTCACTATAAATTTCCATGCAGGGTGAGACCCAAATTGTCCAAGGATGCTGGCTCAGGAAAAAAGAGCTTACTTAAGCTTGGCTAGTTCCTAACAATAACCTACCCGGAGCCTGACTGGGGCGTAGCAACATCTAGCTGCTGAAGCTTTGCTTTCCCTGAGACTTGCCCCCGGAGCGCCGGGCGCTGGGCTGGAGTTAATGCTCCGCAGCCTTGCTTCTGCAGCGAGGCAGAACTAACAGCAGCAGACCTTCCACTTCTCTCCTCCTCCCTCTGGCCATGCTGGGCATGGCTGGAGCTCAGCAGCGTCACTAAGGACACGCTGCTGTGCCTCCGTTACCTTGGGCACGCTTTGGGTTCTGCTGCTCTCGCAGTAGCAGACTGGGAGGAAGAGGGGAGGCTGTTCTGGGCTCGGCGTTCCCATGTCATAAAGCACGTTCTCGTTTCTTTGCACAGTATAGCTCTAATATGGCCCAGCGAGTGGGAGAGGATTCAAAAGATCTTTGTGGTGGATCACGTCATCAAAATCACCCGCACACGAGTAGCCGGGGAGCCCGAGGGCGCGCTGTACAGCTCCGAGCCCCGTGAGTGAGCTTTCCTGCCGCGTTGCTCCGCGCTGCTGCGGGACCTGGCCCTGCTTGGGCAGATCCCTGTGGATCCTGCTGAGCTGCGCTGTGGGTTGGCGAGGAACGGCGCTGGGCAGGTGCAGTGCTTGCTGTCTCCAAGGAGCTGAAGCAATTAAATGCCTTTTCCTTTGTGCCTCCCCAGAACTGTGTCCAGAGTGCAGAGAAGGGCTGTTGTGCCAGCAGCAGCGGGACTTACGCGAGTACACCCAAGCGACCATCTACATCCATAAAGTGGTGGATAATAAAAAGGTACGGATCTCTCCTTTGGCCCTCCCTCATCCCAGCACCATTTCGCTGTTCAGAAGCTGCCCCAACTGTGAACCCACGTGGCCAGACGAGTGGCTGTCTGCAGGCAGGGCAAGGCAGCTCACAGGCTTCTGCTGATTTCTTTCTCCCTCCCAGCCGTTTTCTGAGGGATGAGGTGGAACCCGGAGATCTGCAACTAAGCTGTCAGAGCGGAGCACAGAATGTGGTCTGGAGCCACTGTTGTGGCTTTGCAGCCTGCCTAGGGGCTGAGTCCCAGCGCGGTGCTTGGCTCCAGTGCGGAGGAGGGCTTTTTGCCGTGGTGCTGGACAGGGCTGTGAGAACAGGCTGCTATTCTTCACCCGGCAGCTGGGGCTGGCAAGAGGGGGCGAGAGCTGGCACGCTGATCCCTCGTTGGTGGGGCAGTGCCCACAGCAGTGCTCAGAACCACTGCTCCCCTCCTGCCAGCTCTGCCTCGCAGTCAGGGAGCGTTTCCCAGCGGGAAGCCACGGCCCCGTGCAGTCAGCAGTCAGCATAGGGCAGCACTGCTGGAATCCAGAAGGCTCTGGGGATGCTGCAGTTGGTGCCGGACAGCTGGGAGTTGCAATCTTGAACTTCAGAGACCTGGATGGGGAAGGGAGCTGTTGGACAGCTGGGGTGCAGAGCGCAGCTGGGCTCCCTGCAGACTGCAGGCAGTGCGTGGCCATGCAGCGCCCAGCAGAGCCGTGCAGCCTGCGGGAGGTGAACAGGGTGTTGCGTTCTGTACGTTGGTGTCAATTATTTAGATTTCATTTTACTTACAAACTGCAGACCCATAAATAACAGCGGTGAGTGCCTCTTTCGGGCTGCTGCAGGGATGGATAAGTGTATAATTTACAGATAATACTCCTTTCTCGGGGTTAGGGCTTTCATAATACACTTAGTTGAGTGGAGGAGCAGCCAGCTAATGGGAAAGAAATCAGTGCAGGCCCCCAGAGACATTCCCTTTGCCTGGAGAGGTCTGGAGCTGCAGGAAGCAGGATGTCCCCGCGGTGGGGTTTGCTTGGCCACCAGCAGCTGCAGTCCAAGAGAGCAGCTCCAGAGCTGCATCTTCTCCCAGGCCTGGTCCCTATGGCTCAGTGCAGCTGGGGGGAGAGTGTTCCCTGAGCACGTGGAGCAGATCTCTGGGTTTCTCTAGCTCGATTCATTTGATCAAGGTGGCAGCCTTGAAGTCTTGAAAGCTGTTTGCCATGATGTGACAGTCTGGGTTATGGAGAATGATTTTTATGACTTCAGGTAATGAAGGATGCTGCTCCGGAGCTGAACGTGAGCAGCTCAGAAGCTGAAGAGGAAAGGGAGGAAAACAAGCCAGAGGGGGAGCAAGACCCAGATTTTAACCAGGTAGAGATCAAAACACTGCAAGGTTCCTCTGCTCTGCACCAGCCTCTTTGAATCAGTGTGATGGAACAGCTCTCCTCTGTTTGCATCTTATGGGGCAGAGGGAAAGCAGCAGTGCCCACGTGTCCCATCCTGGCGGTCATACCACACATTTTGTCTCCATTTGCATTACTGGGGCTGGTTTTGTGCCTGCACTCTTTGGTTTTAAAGCCAGCTAAGTCAAAAGCCTCTGCTGAGAGACCTGCCCACTTGATGTTTGGGTCACCCCGAATCCTTTTATTTCTGATGCTACGTCCCAAATGAAAGGACAACGGGGGCTGTGCCTCCTGGCACCAGGGCACTGCCGGTGCTGTATCACAGTGCAGGCGACACCACGGTGCAGAGGAGGGATCACTGTGACATCAGGATAAGCTCAGTGCTGGTGCTAGGAGCAGAAGTTGAAGTTTCTTTGGTCTTCCTACTCTCCTGGTGGTGCTGCGTGTGTCAGTGCTCCCCCGGGGCAGTGCTGCAGCCTGGGAGGGAGCTGTGAGCTGTGCAGTGCCCACGATTGAGCTCCTCATGCCTGGCTCTCTTTCAGAGCAACGGTGGTGCGAAGCGCCAGAAGCTTTCACACCAGAGCTACGTCTCCTACCAAAAGCAGGGCATCCGGCGGAGCACCCGGCACCGGAAGGTCAGGGGGGAGAAAGCTCTGCTCGTTTCTGCTAACCAAACATTGAAAGAGCTGAAAATACAGGTAAGGCGGACTTGCTGCAAGAAATGTGTCTTCTGGAATAAAAAACCCATGAGGTTAATAGTCAGGAGACCACAGCTGGGAGGAGATGGAGGGAAGAGTTTGAGTCCCCAGCGGCGGCAGTGCGTGTCTGTGTGCAGTGTGTGTGTGCACTGCACGCGGTCTTTTTGTGCAGCTCAGCAGTATGTTTTTTCCTCCGCACAAAACCAGCGTGTCTCATTGTGTTGGCACAGATCATGCATGCATTTTCAGTTGCTCCCTTCGACCAGAACTTGTCCATCAATGGGAAGATCCTGAGCGACGACACAGCGACGCTCGGCAGCCTGGGCGTCATCCCCGAGTCCGTCATCCTGCTCAAGGTAAGGCAGGAGCAGCGCGGCTCTGGGAGGAAGGAAAGCAGAGAGCTGAGCTGCTTTGCTGGGCTCTTCCCTTGCAGCTTTTTGGAGAAGAAGAGCCTCCTTAAGGAGCGTGACCCCATGCACTCTGCCGGGCGCTCGCTAACTGTCCTCTTTGCTTTCAGGCTGATGAGCCAATTGCGGATTATGAGGCGATGGACGATGTGATGCAAGGTGAGGGAGGGCAGCCCTGTGTGCTCCTGGGGGAGGTCTGGGATTTGGGAGGCTGCCTTGCTGCTGTGCTTCTGGCAGGGACAGGGGCGGCTGTGTAGGGCTGTGTTGGCTTTGGGTTGAAGCGTGAGGGGAAAATTGAGATGTTGAAGCTTTCCTGTGGCTGTCGGCTGGAGGTGCAGCTGAGTGCCGCAGCGCGCTGCGCTCACACAAAGGATCCTTTTAGAAGTGACTGTCAGGAGACTTCTAATATGATGTCTCTCTCTTCCCATCCCCAGTTTGTACGCCTGAAGAAGGATTTAAAGGTGAGAGTCTTCCCCCTCCCCTTTTACTGAAGCCCATGCTGACTTCAGCTCCGCCTCGCCAGCGCTGTAACTGTCGGCTGGTTGTCTCCTTGCTCCCAGGGACTGGCTTACTCGGACACTGATGGCTTTACAAGCACTGGCAGACCAGAAGAGAAGAGGATTTGACATGGTAGGGCATTTAGAGAGAAGGTGGATACGGGACTCAACTCTTGACTCTTCCAGAAGGCAGAATCCCATTCTGAAATGACTGCCCCCAAAATGCCTTATGTCAAAGCAGATTGCACTGAAGGACATTCTGACTTCAAGAGAACGTTCCCCATTTTATATTTAATAAAGCAACAGTAGGGTTGGAAAGTGTAGCAGCAGAGGCAGCGTGTGCCAGGTTCAGGCAGATGTTTGCAGGGGAGGCGGGGGCCTCGTCTGTCCCAGAGGAGTTGTGATGCGGTCGATCAAAACCAGCTCCATCCATTCTCCGGTAACTCTTGAGGCGTAACCTGCTTCCAGATAATCCCCTCTTTGATCCGCAGTTCCTCTTTCAGTACAGCATGAAAGTAAAGAAATTGTTCGTTGTGAGGAATGTCTTCATCCATTTCCCTGCAGTGTGAGCCCTGCGCTCCCAGGGCCGGGCTGCCCACACCGCACCGCTCGCCTTCGCAGCTTCACTTCCAGGCGCGACCGCGCCGAGTAACCGCCCGGTCTCTCTCTCTGTGAACTGTGTTTTTAGAAACGTGGGCTGTTTTAATGACTTTTGATAACATCTTTCTCTGGTTCGTTACTGCCGGGAGCCCTGTGCCCCTCGCTTCGGACCCATCAGGGCTGCGTGGGCCCTGGCGAGAGGTTTTCCCTCTGTTCTTGTTTTCAGGAATGCACTAATTAATTTTTTTACATCTCCAGCTCCCAGAAAGGATCTCTCCCTCTCCCCAGTTGCGTGTTTGTAGCAGGAGCTAGTGTTACCACTTCCAGACTTGAGGAAAGAAAAAAAAAAAAAGGGGCACTGTTGAGGTATCTTCATAATAAAGTTAGACATCTCTCGTTCTGTCAGAGGTTTGTGGCCGCTGCTCTGGGCACCCTGCTCTCCCCTGGGCCTGCAGCCTTCCTGGCTGTTGGCACCCACTGCTTTCCTTGAGTGCAGCCCACGTGCTCCCATGCCCTGGGCCAGGCGATGCTTGGCAGCCCTTCCCTAGCAGATGCGGTGCTGGCTCGTGCTGTGGGACAGAGCTGCCCACATCCCTGCATGCCTCCAGCCTGGGCAGCTGTGGGGCTGAGCCCTTGGTGCTCCTGTGCTGGCGCTGGGCCCTATGAGTGCTCCCTGGGTGCAGCAGCTTGGTGTCAGCCCCTGGCACCTGGCGTGCAGCAGTCTGTGCCAGCCCTTCCCCAAGTCACTGCCTCCCTCCTGCAGCCCAGGTCGTGGCTCTGGGGGATGCTGAGGGGTCCTGGGGGCACCCATGACAGGGGGGCTGGATGGATGGCTGGACTCTGGGCTCCAGTGGTGGGAGATTAAATGGACAGATAGAATCATTGGCCACCAGAGTTGGGATGTTGAACGAGTGGAGGGACGGACAGGTGGACTCAGTCATGCACCAGGGCTAGGAGAATGGCAGATGGGAAGAGGGGTAGACAGACTCACTCTGGGCGCGAGGGAGGGACGGATGGATATATGGACTCACTCCGGACACCAGGGATGACAGCATAGATGAATGGAGGGGAGAGTGAAAGGATGGACAGACAGATGGACTCGCTCTGGGCACCAGAGATGGGAGGGTGGACAAATTGGAGGACGGATGAATGGACAGATGGACTCTGGGCATTTGGGATGGGAGGAAGGATGGATGGGTGGGCAGACAGACAGGGATTCTGGATACCAGGAGTGGGAGGATGGAAGGGCGGGCGGACAGAGGGACAGACAGGCAAATGGACTCACTGTCCCTGGGGACGGGGGAGCAGATGTGGGAGCGCTGTGGATACCGAGGGTGGGAAGACGGGGGCAGCCTGGCTTCTCAGGGGTGGGAGCGCGGTGGCTCTGAGCACGGACGGATGGAGGGGACGCCGAGTGCCCGGGCGGAGGGCACGGGGCCGCCGGATCCCGCTTCCCGCTGCCCATCCCCGTTCCCCCCGCGGGTCCGCTGCCGGTTACGGAGGCGTTTGCTCCTCTCCTGGGGTCGGGATGGCGGTGCCCGGTGCCAGTGCCGGTTCCGGTGCCATTCCCGGTGCCGGCCGCCCCCGTGCGGGCCGCCCCGCCCCGCTGCACGTGACGCGGCGCGGCGGCTGCGAGCGGTGGGGCCCCGCGCCGCTGCTCTCCGGTACCGGTACCGACCCGGCCCCGAGCCGCTCAGCTCCGCTCCCGCCGCCCCCGGTAAGCGCCGCGCAGCCCCCCTCCCGGGGCTGCCACTACCGCCGGTGTCCCCGGGGCCGCGCAGCAGCGTGGGGGGCCGGGCCGGGCCCGTGACCTTCAGCCGCTGCCGGTACCGGGAGGAGATGGGGGGTCTGGGGGTGGGGGTGGGGGGCGTCAGCCCCTGAGTGTCCCCAAACCTCCCCAGTATGTACCCTACAAATTGCCTCCCCCCTTTCACTCCCAAACCTGCTCCCCGTCCCTTCCCCCCCCCGCATCCCGGCCCCATATTCCATCCCCCCTCAACCGTATCTCTGCAATCTGCCCTCCTTGTTACCCCCAATCCCCGCCCTGGCTGTACATTTGGGTGTCTCCCCCTCCCCCCACACGTACAGAAGGGCCCCACGGATGCTAAGGGGGAGGTGCCCCCCGCGGGCTTTGCACGGGGCTGGGGGGGGGTCGCGCTTTTTGCGCGGGCCGTCGGGTCGGGCTGCGCTGCGCGTGGGGTCCCCGCCGCTGTCCGTGGTGCTGCCCCGCACCGCTCCCGCCCGCCCGCAGAGGGCGCCCCGTGGGGGTCGGGGGGGGGGTTGGACGGTCGCACTCTTGGGGAGGGGGCGGTGATGGTTTTTCCCCGCAGCCGGACACCCCCAGGGGACAGCTCCCCGCACCCCGTTTCCCCTCAGACAGGGCCACGATGGACCCCCCCGGCCCCTCCTCGGCCAGCTAGCTGCGTCCCGCAATCACTGCCACCCCCCGGTGAGTTGTTCCCTCCCCTGGGTGACCTCCCGGCACCGGGATGGATCACACAGCCCCCGGTGCCCCCCGTACCCCATGGCCGTGTCCCATAGGCAGCAGCATGGCCCAGCAGCACCGCACCGTGCCCCCCCCGCTCAAGGTATGTGCCAACAAGGGAGTTTGGTGGGGGGGGGGAATCATACAGCACTGAAGAGTTCCAGAAGGGCTTCACCCCCCCACTGCCTTGCAGACAGAAGAGGACTACATCCCATACCCCAGTGTGCACGAGGTAGCGTGGCCGTGCTTCCCAGGTTTGGTGAGGTTGGGTGGGTGGGTGTCAGGGAGCACCCAGCTCAGCTGTGGGTGCAGGTGCTGGGCCGGGAAGGGCCGTTCCCCCTCATCCTGCTACCACAATTCGGGGGCTACTGGATCGAGGGCACCAACCACCAACTGAGCGGGGCCCCCGAGCCCCCCCTGAACCCAGCACCCGGCACCCGTGTGCGGCTGGAGGGCAACCACACGGCCAAGATCTACCGCAAGCACTTCCTGGGCAAGGTGGGCACCGGGGAGCACATCCCTGTCGGTGTGCATGGGCACAGGGGTCCTGTAAGTGTGGGTGCATGTGGGGATGGATGCTGATGGACGTGGGGGATCGATGGCATAGGTGCTCATGGATGGGGTTCTTCATGCAGATGGGTGCGAATGGTGATGGAGACCCCAGAAGTGTGGGTGCTCAGCAGGAGTGGGTGGTCATGGGCAAGGGGACCGGTGAGGATGGGTGCCCATGGGCGTGGTGACCCTACGTGTGTCTGTGGGAGGAGTGGCCTGCGAGGATGGGTGTCCTCAGGAATGGGTACCCCACAGGCACGTGCTCATAGGTCTATACTGGAGATCATGGGATGGTGAGACGGGTGGCCCCGTTGCGTGTGTGCCCATGGGTGTGAGTGGCCACTGGTGGGTCTGTGGGTGCCTCGTGTGTGAGCACCCATGGGTGCCCCCCTGGCTGCTGGCAGGAACACTTCAACTACTACTCCCTGGACCCTGCACTGGGCCACCTTGTCTTCTCCCTCAAATATGATGAGCAGGAGCACCTCCACCTGCTGCTGCGGTGAGCAGGGCAGGGGGCACCCATGGGTGCTGAGTTTGTGTGGACATGGCACCCTGACTCCTCTCACCTTGCAGCACCCGATCCCGCACCCTGCACGATGTGGTGCCCATCTCCTGCCTGGCCGAGTTCCCCAACGTGGTGCAGATGGCCAAGGTTGGTGCCCTTCTGCCCACCAGCAGCACCTATGGGTGCTCCTCAGCACCCACTCCTCAGCACCCTGCCTCCCCCTGCAGCTGGTGTGCGAGGACATCAACGTGGACCGCTTCTATCCCGTGCTCTACCCCAAGGTGAGCACAGTGCATAACCCCAACTCCCATCCCTAACCCTAACCCTAACTCTACTCCTACCCCAACCCCAATCCTAAACCCATCCCCACCCCATCCCTAACCCACCACCCCACGTCCCCCCAGGCCTCCCGCCTCATCCTCGCCTTCGATGAGCACGTGCTCAGCAACCACTTCAAATTTGGTGTCATCTACCAAAAGCTGGGGCAGGTACCGGGGTGTGGGGCCAGGGTGGGAATCTGGGGGGAGGGTCCGGGGGGCACCCACTGCTGTCCCCACAGACCTCAGAAGAAGAGCTCTTCGGCACCACGGAAGAGAGCCCAGCGTTCACCGAATTCCTCGACATCCTGGGGCAGCGGGTGCAGCTCCGTGACTTCAAGGGGTGCGTGCAGGGTGCAGGATAGGAGCACCCCAAAGGGTTCCTCCCTTTCCTCCCCCCAAAAAATCCTCTCCCCTTAATGCCATGCAGCTTTCGAGGAGGGCTGGACGTGACACATGGGCAGACGGGCAGCGAGTCAGTGTATTGCCACTTCCGGGACAAGGAAATCATGTTCCATGTCTCCACCAAGCTGCCCTACACTGAGGGCGATGCGCAGCAGGTGGGGGCAACAGGAGTATGGGGTCATTGATGAGGTACAGGGGTTGTGAGGGCTGGGGGGCCATTTTGGGGTGTTTGGGGATGTTCAGTGGGGCACAGGGGTTCCTGAGGTAGTGCTGGGTGCTGGAGGGGACATAGGAGCTGCTGGTGCCTCCTAAGTATTTACGGAGTGTTCATGACCTCATTGAGCAACGCCAGGGCCAGGGGGACGGCAGGAACCGACGTCATCCCCCTGTCCCTGCGTCCCCACAGCTGCAGCGAAAACGCCACATCGGCAACGACATCGTGGCCGTCGTCTTCCAGGACGAGAACACCCCCTTTGTGCCCGACATGATCGCCTCCAACTTCCTGCACGCCTTCGTGGTGGTGCAGCTGGAACCCGGCGGCCCCCAGGGGCCCCTCTACAAAGTGTCGGTCACCGCCCGCGATGACGTCCCCTTCTTTGGGCCGCCGCTGCCCGACCCTGCCGTCTTCAGGAAGGTGAGCGCCCCCGGGTGCCGCCCGCAGAAGAGCCCCATTGGCGCCCACCCAGCACCGCTGCCGCCCCGCAGGGCCCCGAGTTCCAGGAGTTCCTGCTCACCAAGCTCATCAACGCCGAGTACGCCTGCTACAAGGCCGAGAAGTTCGCCAAGCTGGAGGTGCGCGCTGCAAGGGTGGCAGTGGCGGGTGCCGTGTGTGGCCTCGCGCAGAACGCTGGGTGCCGTGCAGGAGAGGACGCGGGCGGCGCTGCTGGAGACGCTGCACGAGGAGCTGCAGGGCCGCAGCCAGGCCATGCTGGGGATGGGCCCCGACGAGGAGCGCCCCGACAACGGCTCGGCCCCGGGCTTCTTCGAGTCCTTCAAGGTGGGGCCGGGAGCTGCTGGGGGGCGGGGCCTGGTGGAGGAGGCGGAGATATGCGCAAGAGCCCCGCCCCTCTGGGGCCACGCCCCTCTGGGCCGCGCCATCCTCTGCACTCCAATGCATGAGCACAAAGCCACGCCCCCTTGGTACACAAGGCCACGCCCCTCAAGCTCACAGCCCTTTGCTCCACGTGCCATGCCACGCCCCTTCTCTTAGCCCCGCCCACCCACCTCCCGTTGACTGCCCTTCGATAAGCCCCGCCCCTATATCAACCCTGCCCTCCCATAGGCCCCGACCTCTGACAAGCCCCGCCCCTCCCGCAGCTTTGATCTCCCACAGGCCCCGCCCCTGATAAGCCCCGCCCCGCAACAACGCCCCGCCCGACTCGCTGCATGCCCCGCCCACCTCCCTCCTGGCTCCGCCCCTTGCCAAGGCCCCGCCCCTCCCCGCTGTCGGCCCCGCCCATGACCATACCACTTCACCTCCGCTCTTCTTTAAGCCCCGCCCTCCTGCTCGCCCTGCCCTCCCATAGGCTCTCCGTTCCGGCGTGCCCCGCCCCCCCTAGCTCCGCCCCGATCTTGGCACGGCCCCTCCCACCCCCCGCCTGGCCCCGCCCCTCCGCCCGAAGCCCCGTTCCTCCATTGGTCCCTCTCCCAAGCCCCGCCCCCTGGCCCCGCCCCCGCCCCTGACTCGTGCCGCCGCAGTCGCTGTTGGTGCCCGGGAGCCGCCGGGGCCGCCGCGGCAGCGCCATCGGTCTGGGCTCGGTGGAAGAGGTGCGTGGCGGGGTGCGGGGCGGGATGAGGTGAAGTGCAGGCAACCCCCAGCCGGCCGCCCCCCGCTGAGCGCCTCCCGCCCTCCCGCAGGCGCTGCTGGTCCCCGGGAAGAGCCCGTCCCGGCGGCGGCCCGGCCCGCTCGGTTCGCGCCGTTCCAGCGCCATCGGCATTGAGAGCATCCAGGAGGCGCCGGGCAGGTGGGGACGGGGGCGGGGGAACGCGGGTCGGGTCGGCCCCCCATCACCGCCCAACGCCCCGCAGGGACGGCCCCGCCCCGGGCAACGACGGCAACTCCTCCGCGCACAGCTCACCCGAGAGCCGGCGGAACCCCGACAGGTCCGGCATCGGGACACGGAAACACGGACATGGGGACATGGGGACACACAGACATGGGAATACGAGGACATGTGGACATGAAGACACACGGACGTGGGGACGTGGAAACGTGGGGACGGGAGACACGGGAACACAGGGAGATGAGGACATCGGGACACGGGGACAAGAGGACATGGGGATGGAGGGGCACAACGACACCAGGACGTGGGGACATGGGATCAATGGGATATGGGGACACACATATAGGGGGATAGAGGAACATAGGGACACAGGTATGGAGGGGCACCAGGATGCAATGAGACCAGGTGCCACGTGGATGGTGGCAGTGGGATGGGGCAGCAGTACGCGTGCAGTGTCACGCTGTCACCCAGTGGCACAGGAGCTGGGCAGCATGAGGACCGGGTGGTGCAGTAACACAGGGATGGGTCGGCATGGGTACAAGGCAGCATGGGGACAGGGTGGCACTGGGACAGGCTGGCACCTGGTGATACAGGAATTGGGTGTTGTGGGACACAGCAGCACAGGGACGTGACTGCTAGTGAGTGCGGTGGGGTGGAGGCAGCGCAGCATTCAGGTGGCACAGGGCTGGGTGGCACGGGGACAAGTCGGTAGGGGTGGGATGGGGCAGCATGGGAACAGAGTGACACCGGGGTGGAGTGGTGCTGGCACAGGGTCCCGTTGGCAGCCAAATGGCACAGGGATGAGGCAGCGTGGGGATGGGGTGACACGGGGGGGACACGTGCAGCGGTCTGGGGTGGCACGGGGCCAGCTCTGTCCCTCGCAGGGCGGAGAGGCCGGAGCCTCTGCAGGACTTCTCCCGCTCGTCCTCCAGTGCCAGCAGCTTCGGCAGTGTGGCCGAGGAGCCGGACGAGCAGCCTGTGGGCGAGCAGGGCAGGGTATGGGCTTAGGGGGATGAGGTTGGGGGGGGGAGGTGGGTGCTGGGGATGCAGTACCCCCTCACCCCACCCTGTGCTCGCAGGACAGCCGCTCATCCTCGCGGATCCCCCGGCAGCGTGACCCCTCTGCTGATCCCCCCTGGCCAGAGGATCCCCCCGGCACCCCCCCAGGTACCTGTCCCTGCAGCATTGGGGTGCTGGGCTCACCCATGGGTGCTCATGCTCCCCCCTAAACAGGCAGCGCTTGCCACCCCGAGATCAAAATCCAGCTGGAGCAGCCTCCCTCAACCCCGGTGAGGCTGAGAGTCCATCCCCACGACCCCCCCGTGCCCCCCAATCCGGGCACAGCCCTACAGCCCTTATTGTTCCCCACACAGGGCTCGTAGCCGACCCCCAAACCCTGGGGGGGCACCGCTGAAGGAGGGTCCCCGCTGTGCCCCCCCCACAGTGCCCCCCACCGCTCACATCCAGGAGCTGAAGCCATCGTCCCCACTGCGGGATTGGGACCCACCTATAGGGTCCCCCCCCCCTATTCCAGACAATCTCCTTCACCCCAATGCCCCCTTCTGGGGGGAGGGGGAATGGGTACAGGGAGACACACAGTGCAATGCCCCCCCCCCCCCCCAAATGCAGAGTGGGGCCAGACCCAGTGTGCCCCCTCCAGAAAAAAAAAAAAAAGAGAAAATCCCACAGTGTGGGGGCTCAGAACTCAGCAGGGGCCACAATGCTGCCCCCCACCCCCACTTCCCCTTCCTCCCCACTATTTTCTTTAGGGTTAACAGCTCCAGATTGGAGGGGGAGAGTTTGGGGCTGTGGGGTTTTTTTCAGCCCCCCTCCCGGGTCGTGGTTGTGTTACCCATATCAGTGTACAAATAAAAGTCTATTTATCGCTACAGCCGATGCTGGGGGGATGGGGGTTGGGGTTCCCCACTCTCTGGGGGCTGCAGTGGGGCTCAGGGCTGCAGGAGGGTGGAGGTTTGGGGGCTGGATGCCCACGTTTGTTTTTTTTTCCCCTCCCTTTCCCCTCTCTGAGCCTTTTTGTTACAAATCCCCCATTCCCTCTGCAGGGTTATTTTGGGATTTTTGGTCTGTCGCCCCCCCCAAACCCCCCCGACCCCAAGCTCCTATTTGCCCTGCAGCGGTCGCACCGCTCGGCGGTTCCCTCCGACCCCAAACCACACACAGACCCCAAATTTAGCACAGCACCGCCCGTTCTGGGAAAGCCCAGCGCTCAGGAGGGGGAGGTGGGGGGGTGGATGGTTTGGGGTGGGGACACCGCAGCCCCACTGCTGTGCCAACCGCCGTGTGACAGCACTGCGAAGTTTGGGGTGTAGTAAAAACGAAGCGAAGGTTTATTTATAGGGGATGAGGGGGGATCCGGGGAGGGGGGAATAAATAATGGGGCTGGCATGGGGCGCTCACGGTGCTTTCAGGGTGCATCTGTGTGGCACTGTGAGCAGCTGCAGCGCAGCGCTGGGTGATGTTGCACACGCCTGGTGACATTTGCACGTCCGTGCGAGGCACCACTTGCTCACCCAGGTTTGCAGGGCTGAGCTGGCACACACATGGCTGTTTGCACATGGGAGGCTCCATTTGCACGTGCACAGCAGTGGCTCACCCAGGGCAGCGCCGTGCCGAGCCCCACACGCACACCCATGGGGCTGCACCCCCCCCTCCAGGATCCACCACATGCGTGCGTCCCCATTTGCGCCCCCACAGCACTGCTGCTCACCCTTTGCACCCCCAGGGCACCGCTGCTCCCACTGCATGCATGCAGCCCCACGTGCACACCACCATCTGCACGCTCACGGCACCCTTTGCATGCTTGGAGCCCCTCTCTGGCTGCACCCCAGCCCCATATCACCCCATCTCCTCTCCCTTTGTCCCCTCCCGGCCCGCGGTTGCCCATTCCCAGCCCCTAAGGAGGTGGTGAACGGCCGACCCCGCCCCCGCTCCCCTCTCCGTGCAGTGCTGAGCCCCAAAACCGTTCCGGAGCTCAAGGAGCAAAAGCCCTACGGATGCTCACACATGCAATGAGTTGGACACAGGCGTTGGGTCTCAACCAAACCTCCCCCCTCGTCCGCCCTCCCCCCGTCTACATTTCAGGAGGGTTTTGGCCGCAGCCCCGAGCCCAAATCCCACAGCGGGCCCAGGACTCTAATGACAGGGGAGGAAGGGTGTATTTACAGGGGCACAGCCCAGCGCGCCGCGGCGGCACCGAAACCGCCGGCGCTGCTTTGCTTTGCTGCGCCCCGGTCTTTCTTTTCGCTCTTCCCCCCCCTAAAAAGAAAACCACTCCTCTCCATCACCCTCCCCCCCCTCACTTCCCCCTCCCCAAAGCCGTTTCGCTTTAGCAGAGGAGGAGGAGGAGGAGGAGGAGGAGGACGGGCAGGAGCGAGGCGGTGGCGGCGGGGCGGGCGGCGGAGCTGCAGTGCGCGCGGTTGGTGCCGATGCAGGCGGCGTAGGCCATGGCGTGGGGGATGTAGTTCTGTTCGTGCACGCCGTGCAGGAGATGCGCCATGGGGCCGCGGGCGAACACCGCCACGTCCTCACCGCCGTGCGTCTCCTGCCGCAGCGGGACGGCCGCCTGCGCCTGGTAGTTGGCGTGAGCTGGAAGGGGAGGGGGATAAAAAGCATCGGAACCCGGCCGTTGGCACGCGGCCGCCGTGGGTCTCAGCCCCGTCGCACGCACCGAAATCCACGGCGGAGACGTTCTCGCGTTCGCCCCCCACGATCTTATAGCCGGGGCCGTTGCCGTACAGGATGGAGGTGAAGGGTTTGCGGTCCACGTCGCTCTGCATCGGGGCCAGCCCTGGCGGCACGCGCGTGTCGGTGACATCCGCACCCTGCGATGGGGGGGGAGGGGGGGACGGACGGGGCGCTCACCGAAAATGGGGTTCCCTCGCGGGGTGTAACCGCCGAAGGTGAAGACGTGCGAGTGGTCGGCGGTGACGACGCTGAGCGTGTCGTGCTGGGAGGTGAGGCGCCCCGCCAGCCCCACGGCGCGGTCCAGCTCCACCGCCTCGTGCAGCGCCTGCTTGGCCTTCCCTTCGTGGTGCCCGTGGTCGATGCGGCCGCCTGCAGCCGCCCCACAGCGCTGAGTCTCAGGGCGCTGCCCAGCCGCAGCCCTGCAGCCCCGACGCCTCCTTTCCCCCCATCGCTCTCTTTACCCCCCGCTCTGCACCCCGCTTTTGCGGTGCACCTCCCGTCTCCTTCCTCCTTCCCATCTTCCTTTTACACCCCATCGCTTCTTCATCCCTCTCCGCTCCCCTCATGTCCCCCCCAGCCCCCCACCTTCCACCAGCAGGAAGAAGCCCCGCGGGTTTTTCTGCAGCATCCTTATGGCCACGGCCACCATCTCGCTGAGCGACGGGTCGGTCTCGTTGTTCCTGTCCAGCTCGTACACCATATCCCCCGGCTCAAAGAGACCTGGGGACAGCGATGCTGGAGGCGGGGCAGCCCCACGGCGCCCAGCACCGCTTTTGTGCTGGCTCAGGCACTTCGGCCCGCACCGTTTCCCATTCCTGGGCTGATTAGATAGGGATGGGGATGCTCCCGGCCCTTCCTTCCTCCCACCAGGTCAGATCCGGGGAATGGCAGTGGGTGGGGTGAGGGGTAGGGGCAGGGGTGAGGGTGGAGGTTGGGTTTGGGTTAGGGATAGAGGTAAGGGTAGAATTTGAGTTTGGGTTAGGGTTAGGGCCAGAGGTAGGGATTGGGGTTGGTGTTGGGTAGGTTTTGGGTTGGGAGCAAGGTTACTGCTAGGGGTACAGTTAGTGTTAGGGGGTAGGATTTGAGTTAGGATTAGGAGTTAGGGTGAGGAGTAGGGTTTGGGTTAGAGTTAGGGGTAGGGTTTGAGTTTGGATTAATGTTAGGGCTAGGGTTATGGTTATGGTTAAGGGTGGGGGTTGGGATAGGGGTGGGTGTTACAGTTATGGGTGAGGAGTAGGCACAGGTAGGGTTATGGTTAAGGATGGGATTAGGGATAGGGGTAGATGTTGGGGTAGAGGTTGGGTTATGGTTAGGGTAAGGGGTAGAGATTGGGGTTGGGGTTGAGTTTGGGTTAGGAGTAGGGTTTGAGTTTGGATTTTTCGAGTTTGAGGTTCAGGGTTAGGGTTATGGTTAGGGTGAGGAGAAGGAGAAGAGGTTAGGGTTAGGGGGGTTACGGTTATGGTTAAGGTGAGGGATAGATGTAGGGTGAGTTGGAGCAAAAAAGATTGTGCCCCCAGCGGGGTGAAGATTGCATCCCTATAAGGGTGGAAATCGCGTCCCTCAGAAATCCCAATCTGAGGGGTCGCCGTGCCCTGGGGGTGTCAACGCGTCCACAGGGCGCCGGGGGCCACTCACCCAGGAGGAAGTCAACACGGCTGAGGTTCAGCGCCAGCAGCTCCCTCCGGTGCCACACGTACTTGGCGACCTGTCGGGGCCACGCGGGGTCACCTCCCCATGGGGACAGCCCCCCACCCCCAACACGGGGCCGCCGGTGCCCCGTCCCACACCTTCCCCGCAGGCTTAGCGTCGTGCCAGGCCTGCACCAGGTCCTTGCCGTCCAGGCGGGTGCCGCGGTGCCGCTCCTCCTGCGGATGCTCCACGTCGCTGGTGTTCTTGGGGAACATGTACTTGCGCCCACCCCCCAGGATCACCTGCAGGGAAAATCCCGGGAGTAGAAATGCGTTTTATTATTATGGTCATTGTTTTCTCCTCTAAGATGAGCGGAGAGAGGCAACCCCCAAAGACGCTCCAAGGGATGCGGTGCCCAGGAAAGCCCTGCCGCAACCACCCCGAGGAATTTCTGGCTAGAAATAACTCTCTCCCTCTTAATCGCTCCCTGTTAATTACCCCA